CGAAGACCTCGGACAGCGCACAGCATTGAGACTCCACGGGGGGAACCAGTGCTGTTGGTGTCTCGAGGGCCTCGCGGAGAACATCTTGGGAGGGGGGGGGGGGCCTCGGGGCCTCCTTGGAGGGCCCCAGGGCCTCGCGGACCGACTGGGCGCTGCCTCGCGCCTCCTCGGGGTGCGCCTGGAGGCACTGCGTGGGCCACCCGCTCGGCCTTCGCACTGCCTCTCTGCGCCGTCCTGGAGCCCGCGGGGCGGCTCGGAGGGCCTCCAGGCCGCCCAGCAGGTCCAGGATGCCCCGCAGCCGAAGATGAGGAGACTGGAGGGGGGAAGAGGACCGCCAGGACGAGGAGGGCGAGGAGCATGAGGCAGGAGCACGAGGGCGAGCCGGCGGGCCGCGCGAACAAAGTGCCTGGCTCCTGGAAGGTCACGGCCACATCGTCGGGCACCCCAGGGAGCCTCGGGAGAGGTGTGTGGGGGGGGGGGGAGGGGCGACTCCAGTTCCCCCCGCTGTGCAGGCCGAGCACCTGCCTCTTTGGACGTCCTAGGGCGCCTCGGGGCCCGTATCAGGGAGTGGTTTGCGGATGCTTCCAGGGGTTCGTCTCTCTGGGGCCCCGTGGGCCCTTCCTGGCGCTCTCTTGGGACATGCGTGCGAGCCGGCGCATCGAGGGAGGGGTGGCGGCGGCCCCCACAGAACCTGTCAGAGCGGCCCCGCCGGGCAGCATTTTGGCGTGGCGCCACGCCTCGACGGGTCACAAGGGCGCCCCTTTGTGGGCGCGGAGCTCTTCGCGCCTCGCGCCTGCGCGCCTCGGCTCCGATTCCTCATCCTCCTCCTCCTCCTCCTTTTCCTCCTCCTCCTCCTCCTCCTCCTCCTCCTCATCCTCCCCTTGGGAGGCGGCGCGGCAGCGCGAAGTTGGATTCGCGTTTCGCGCAGCGCGGCGCGCGAAGTCATAGTCGCCCCTGTGCTGGGGGAGCACCTTGGCGGAGGCTCCTCGCCCGCGCTGAATATGTTGCCAAGAGTGCAACCGGCTGCCTTTTCTTGCGTTCCTGCGGGATAACGCGGAGCGGCGTCTTTCGCAGACCCAGCCTCTTGCTCTCGGATAGCTGGGTGCTGCCCGGCGTTTAGCGGTCTTCACGTCCTGGCGTCGCCAGGGTCAGCGGGGTCACCATCGGTCGGCTGCGTGTTGCCAAATGAGCGACGCAAAGTAATGGGCTCCTTTGCGCCGACATTCGCGCGGAAGTTGCCCGCGTAAGGTCGCGCGTAAGCGCCCTCGTCTCCAACGTAGCGTGCCGCGCTAACGGCCCGCGCAAGCCACCGCGTAAGGTCGTTGTGCCATCTCGCGTGAGACCTTTTTCTTTTCGTCGCTCAGACGAATTGCTCTTCTCGGCGGCGAGCGAGGGGGGGATGTGAGAAGGAGAAGGCCTTCTCAGAAGGAGGTGAGAGGTTTCGGCGTCTTCGGGAAAGGCTTAGAAGACTTGTCAGGAGGCCGGGGGACTTCCGAGCCTTCTATGAAGGCTCGCCCCTTCTCACTTCCGCCTCACTTCCCCCTCCGGGGTGCGCCGCCGAGTCCCAGAATCCGCCAATGTTGAACGATCTGGCCTTCGAAAAGCAGCCGAGCGTTCAACATTGACCGATCCACGCCGTGGTCGTCAGGACACGAGGCTGCGGCGCGCAGACCGATCGAGGCCCTGACCACCTGGGTGTTGCCAAACTCAGAGGTGCCGCCACTTGCCTGCGCCTCTGGGAGGAGGGGGCGGCGGAGCAGCGTTCTAGGATCCATGCCATGGTTCTGCCAAATGTCTTGGGCTGGTTGGGCATCTGCCTGGTAATTCGTAGATCGGGCAGGTGTATCACAGGGCTTGACCTAAACGCTGTTTTCCTGGACTTCGGCTATGTTTGGTTTTTCGTTTTTGCAGGGAGGCACAGGAAAACAGGTAGATCAAAACGAAAACAAAACAACAAACAACGTTTAGGTCCAGCCCTGGTGTATCAGTACTGTTCCGCGTGGTCATCTTGGCAGCTTGGAGCGCCCGCAACCACCAGCAAACGTGTGGCATGATGCCGGTGTGCCTTCGAAGTGCATGGGCTTGATGCGTAGAAGAGCGTGTGCGTGTGCTTCGCCAGGATAATGCGCGTGCCGCAGCCGACGAGGTACACAGCTCTCATCTAGTACATTTGCGACTGCTAGTTCTGAAAGCATTCGGGTAGATTCTGCGAGTGAGTCGTATCGGACCATCCGATGTTCCGCCTTGACCGTAAGAGTATTCGGACCGCGTGTTCGTTGTTTCCCCGAGTCGGACGCACGACCGCCCCAAGGCACACAGGAACAGGCGACAAAGATATGTATATATATAGTTACATACATATATACATATGTTTGTATACATATATATATATATATATGTAATTTACTTATGTGTGTGTGTCCGATTGCTCCACAGAGTGCAAGGCACGGCTCTCACAGCACAGCGTCGAAGAGAGTTTCGATATGACAGCTTTTGGAGCATGTTTGGTGGAGGAAACCACCGTCTTCCGCGCTTTTGTGCTTCCCGACCGATGCTGTGGCCCCAGCGTGCCGGTCCGCAGGGTGGGTGCTGTGTCTCCTGGCGGACCCGATCATTGCCGTTTGCTAAACGGCTTTGGGCGTTCACTAAACAGGCCTGCCCTGTTCGATTTTTTCTTTGGGCGCGTTTACTAAACGCCTTCGCGTGTCGGGGTGGTTATTACGGGGGTGGATTTTTTGACCTCTGATCAGCGCGCCACCCGCCCAGGCAGACGTCCTGCTCCACGGCAAATTGTGGCGCGCGCCCCCGTCGCGCGGGTGGGGGAGAGCCAGCCATTGCGGAGGCATGTTGCCGGCCATCGGGCGTCGCCAACGTCCTAAATTGCCTTGGCAATCGATTGCAATCTTGATCGTCGAGTTGTTTGTTCTCGTCGCTTTCGGTGTTTCGTAGTTTTTGGCCTCCGGCTGCCGTTTCCGGGCCCCAGGCCCGTCAGAACCCAGGATTAACATTTACCCCAGGGTGCACGTACAGCTGGTATGTCCTGCGTTCTTCCTTCCTTCCCTTTTCGGCGGCGAGCTGGAGGGAAATGAGAAGGAGAAGGCCTTCTCAGAAGGCGGCGGGACTTCTCAGAAGCTCTCGCGCCTTCTGAGGAGTGCTTTCTGCCTTCGGAGAGGGCCCAGAAAACTCTTCAGAAGGCCAGGGGACTTCCGAGCCCTCTGAGAAGGTCTTCTCCCTCTCACTTCCCCCCTCGCTCGCCGCCGACCCTCGTTTCCGCCGAGTGTGAAGTCGGGCGTGTTCCTCGATTGGAGGAATATGCAAAAATAGTAAAAAAACAGTCTGGGGACGATGTTGCTATTATTTTTGACCATATTTCGGCGATATTCTATTTTTCATCGAAGATCCGCATGTAGGGGGACATGTCCGACCTAACTCCAGGGCGAAAGATTGCGCGAGGCTGCGGGGCGAAAGATTGCGCGAGGCTGCGGCGCACGCCCCGCTCTAGGCGTTTTTTTTTTTTTTTTTTTTTTTTTTTTTTTTTTTTTTTTTTTTTTTTTTTTTTTTTTTTTTTTTTTTTTTTTTTTTTTTTTTTTTTTTTTTATATATATATTGATTTTTTATTTATATATATAATATATAAAACACAGACACATATATATATATGTATAAGGAAAAAACGTGGGTATGGTGAGTTATGTCCTCTACCTCACCCCAACAACGTAACCACCAGATGAGGAAAAGGTACCCGTACCTCCACTCTCCCCTCGGTTTCCTCTTCTTTGCGCCTCCTGGGCCTCTGTCGTCGCCACCGCTGGATTCGCCTCGAAATCCTGGTCAGAACGCGCCCCCGGGAGAGGCCAAGGGGCCAGGGGAGTATGGGTATCGCTATTTTTTGAGTGTCCCCAAATGATCTTTACCCCCTTCGTAGTGCGCTTCCGGCGGTGCCATCGTGATGCTCGCAGGCTGCGGTGATGCTTGCAGGCTGCTTCAACGTTCGTCGTCGTCGTCGTCGTCGTCGTGTCCCAGGGCCTCGCAAAGCGTCGTCGTCGTCGTCGTCGTTGTCGTTTGTCGCCGTCGTCGTCCCCAACCTCGTTGTCGTCGTCGATGTTGTTGTCGTCGCTGTTTCTGTCGTCGTAGTCGTCGGCGTCGGCATCGGCGTCGGCGTCGTCGTCGTGACCGTTTTTAGTCGTCGTCATTATCATCCTCGTCCCCGTCCCCTTCTTCGCCCTCGTCCCAGTCGTCGTCCTCGTCCTCGTCCTCGTCCTCGTCGCGGTCATCGTCCTCGTCGTCGTCGTTGTCGTCGTCGTCCTCGTCGTCCTCGTCGTCGTCGCCGAGGGCCTCGATGGGCCTCCAGACGCCTTCAGAAGTCTCCGAAGACCTCCGTGGGCCTCTGGAGACCTCCAGAGACCTTCAGAGGCGGCCGTCGTCCTCGTCGTCGTCTTCGTTTTCGTCCTCGTTTTCGTCCTCGTCGTCCTCATCGTCATCGTCCTCGTCGTCCCGGTCCTCGTCCTCGTCCTCGTCCTCGTCGTCGAGGGCCTGGATGCGATTCCAGACGTCTCCAGAGGTCTCTGGAGACCTTAGGTCGTAGGCCTTCGGAGACCTTTGGAGACCACCAGAGGCGGCCGTCGTCGTCGTCGTCGTCGTCGTCGTCGTCGTCGTCGTCGTCGTCGTCGTCGACGTCCTCGCCCTCGTCCTCGTCCTTGTCCTCGTCCTCGTCCTCGTTGTCGAGGGCCTGGAAGCGATTCCAGACGTCTCCAGAGGTCTCTGGAGACCTTAGGTCTCAGGCCTTCGGAGACCTTTGGAGACCACCAGAGGCGGCCGCCGTCGTCGTCGTCGTCGTCGTCGTCGTCGTCGTCGTCGTCGTCGACGTCGTCCTCGCCCTCGTCCTTGTCCTCGTCCGCGTCCTCGTCCTCGTCCTTATTGTCATCGTCGTCCTCGTCCTCGTCCTCGTCTCGTCCCTGCCGTCGTCCTCGTCCTCGTGCTACTCGTCCTCGTCGTCCGTAGCCATTTTGGCTCAAGCGGGGGCGGCGCGGGAGGCCGGGGGTGGGATTCGCGGCGCCTCCCTGGCGGACGCAGGTGGGCCCCGCGATGTCCCATCGGCAGCGCCTCGACGAGGAGGACCCGCCGGGCGCCCTGCTGCTAGAAGGCGGCAAGGCGTCTGGGCTCCTGGACCGCCCAGTGGCGGCGCCGCGGAGCAGGGCCGCCCAGGACGTGGCCTACGTCGCCGGCCTCGCCGTCTGCTACATGGCGATCTCGTCGGGGCTGATAGCGTTCAACAAGTACCTGATGCACGACGGCAGGTTCCCTTACGCGATCACCATCGGGCTGCTGCACATGTCCTCCTGCTTCACCTTCAACCTCGTACTGTTTCTGGTCTGCCCGTCGCTGTACCCCTCGCTGACGGACTCCAGGCAGAGGGTCGATATCAGCGGGGAGCTTGTCCTCAGGATAATACTGCCTATCGCGGGCTGCTTCGCGGCCCAGCTAGTCCTCAGCAACGCTGCGTACCTCTACTCCTCGGTCGCGTTCCTGCAGATGGTGAAGCAATCCAACGTGGTGCTCGTGTACCTCTTCTCCCTGGCCCTGTCGCTGGAGCAGTTCTGCTGGAGGCGTTCCGGCGTCCTGCTGTTCATCGTGGGGGCCACGGCGCTCACCGTCCACGGGGAGATTCACTTCTCGTGGTCTGGTCTCACAGCTCAGGGGGCCAGCATGCTCTGCGAGGGCCTCAAGCTCGCGCTCCAGAGCTACTCGCTCTCGTCCGCTGGCAAGAGACTGGACGCCCTCGCGTACGTCCTGCTGGTGTCGCCCATGGTCCTGTCAGTGCTTGGCGTCGTGGTCCTCGGGCTGCAGGTGGCGTGGCCCAGCTGCCCCAAGGCCCTGCAGCTGCCGCCTTGGCACGTCGTGGTGCAGTACAGGTGGCTGCTGATCGGCAACGGCATGCTGGCCTTTGCGATGAACGTCTCCCACGCCCTCTTCATCAAGAGCAGCTCGGCCATCACGTTCATCCTGACTGGAGTCGTCATGAAGGACGTAGTCATCGTCTCGGTCGCCTCCGTCGCCCTGGGTGAGCTGCTGAGCGGCGCCCAGGTTCTGGGCTTCGGCATGCAGCTCTTCGGCATCTTCCTGTGGTCGATGATGAAGGCCGCGCCTCAGCCGGCCTCGCTGTCGGCAGCGTCCAGGAAGGTTTCGGTACAGCGGGAGGCCCTCGAGAGCGAGGGCAGCGGCAACGGCTCCAGCTGGAGGAGCGACGGCGGCGGCGAGAGTTTGTCCAAGGCCAGCAGCGAGAGCACCATGGCGCCGCCGGACGACGACGAGAGCCAGTTGTCCGCGCGCGGGGCGTGACGTCGGCGGCCGCTTTGGGCACCTTGGGCGCCCGCGGCCGCCCGGCCGCAGGCCTTTCCTCTGGCGGCGGGCCTCCCGGTCTCCTCCTCCTCCCGAGGAGTGTGGATTGGACCCCGCCGCCGGCCGGCGCGGCGGAGACCCCGCCTCCCGCCGGAGTAGTTCTCTTGCACGCCCGCGGCGCACGCCGCCCCCCCGCGGAAGAGGGCCCTCTCCATCGCCCCTCGGCCGAGGGCGGCGGCCCTTTCACCCTCCGCGGGCTCGCCATCTTGTGGCCCTGCGCCCTCCTCTTGGACACCGCTGGCCCCCTCGCGCCGGTGCCGTGCCTGGCACCTCTCTTCCAACCGGGGCGCGAGCCCCCCTCGGGCGGTCCGCCGCGCGCCGCCAGTCTGGCCGTGCACCAGGATCTCGCCGCGCGGGAGGACCTGCCGCACGCTTCGCCAGCGCCACGTTCTGTACAGTGCTCCCCTTTGCTCTCGACGCCTGTGTGCCGCTCCTCCTCCTCCGAAGTCCCCCCCCCTTCGCCCTCTCTTGATGCATTCCCAGCTGGCGAAGTTTTTTTGTGCACACGCCATGCAGTTGCGCGCGCCCTGCCAGGAGCGCCCACCGCCTTGAGGGTGGTGTTTGGAGGATAGAAAGGGAGGGGAGGAGGAGGAGGAGGAACGAAATTCATGCTCCGGACAATGCGGGGTATTAATCGTACTAGCTGGCGCCTCTAGCCAACAGACGCCTAGCTCGCAGGCTCTCGGCCGCGGCCGGAGGGATTCCCGGCGGCGCGCAGTTGGCCGCGTCCCCCTGGTCCGGCGAACCCGGCCACATAGCCAAAGTGTGCAGTGGCGGGGCGCGCCCAGGCCTTTTTGCCTCGTGGCCGGCCGGCTGGCCTTTCCCCTCCTCCCCACCATCCTCCTCCTGCTCCTCCAAGGGTCGCCCCCTCGCCCCCTGGCCCCCTTGCTGCACGCCGCCAGCTCTTGTCGGTTTGTGACGATCGACTCGCCGACTCCTAGTTGTGCAAGCGATTGCCATCGAGTTTAACGGATCGCGGCTCCTCTGGACCGCCTGACACTAGCACGAGAGGCAGCGTCCTACTCGTCCTCGTCGTCCTCTTCGTCGTCGTCGTCGTCGCCGACGGCCTCGATGGGGCCTCCAGACGCCCCCAGGGGTCTTTGGAGACCTCCTTCGAGAGGCTCTGGAGACCTCTGGAGATCTTGAAAGGCGACCGTCGTCGTCCTCGTCGTCCGCATCCTCGTCCTCGTCAACGTCCTCGTCGTCGTCGTTGTCGTCGTCCCCGTCCCCGTCCCCGTCCCTATTCTCGTCCTCGTCTTCGTCGTCGTTATTGTCGTCCCGCGGTCGGGCGCTCTCGTCGTCCAGCAGGCAAAAGCACAGAGTAATGCTGGAAGCAGGGTGTGGGGGAAAGAACGTTCTGGGGCACGATGGTGCATGTATGCACTGCGCAGTGCAGAGGCGATGTGGTGCACGCGGCTGCGGCGGTGCAAACTGTGCTGCGCTCTGTGGTGCTTGCTGTGTTGCGCACAGGCGCTATGACTCTGGAACCACACGGCTGGGGGGGCGCTACGTTATGCCCCCCCCCCCCCCCCCATAATGGAGGGCAGCGAATTCATCAACGCAACGCGTTCCTCTCGGGTCTGAATGATCAGGGTTTGGGCACACGCCTGCGGCTGCGTTGATTAGGGGGCCACATGCTACTATGCGCCACGAACTTCCGTACAATGGCCGAAAGTCCGTCCAAACGGCGCTCTCGCCTCGGCGCGAGCAGCACACCGCCAGCGTCACCTGCACGCCGTGGCCAGTTTAAGAGCGAATCGTGCGGATGTCTCAGCAGAAACGGGCTTTCTTGGTTCAGATGGGGGCTGGACGACATGGGCGAATCAAACACACGTTTGGCGGAAGTCAAACATCGGAGCGATGTCCCGGCAGATTGGGCCAGTTTGATTGCCGCCAGTTTCCGTCGAACGCGTGCGGTGCACGTCTCGAGGAGTATGTTGCGGTGTTTGTTTCCCATGTTTTGCGTCTTTATTTTTTGTCATCCGTGTCGCGTTTCCGTCTGCTCACTCCCTCCTCCTCCTCCTCCTTCTCCTCCTCCTCCTCCCTCCTTTTCCATATCACGATCAGAATCATCGCGATGCGACAGGCATAGCACTTGGGCAACACAAGGGGGTGCCGCCAGTGGATAGGTCACTTACCGGTTCGTGCCCAGATTGTGGGGATGTCTCCAGCGGTTCGCTTGTTTCACGGATGTAGGCGCGTCTTTTTCAGGGCCGCGCGGTGTTCGCGATGTCGCAACAAACGTTGTTGGGCGCCACAATGGGGAGCGGCCACGGGGTGGGACATGTGCCCGTTGGCGCCCAGCATTCGGGGATATCTCAGGTGAGACGCTGGCTTTTTGAGGTGGGCGTGCTTTTATTCAGGGCCGCCACGAAGAAAGCGAATATTTGGATCAGTCCCGGCAGTCGCCGTGGTACTGGGGTGACCGTCGGATCGATTATTTCGTTGTCGATTTGTTTGGCGTGTATCGTTCAAACCCTTAGGGCAGCCTCGCGTTGGCAAATTTTGCGCGGCGGTTGCACGACGACGGAGGGCGCACCATAGATCCCTTCATGACAGCCCATCGTTGTCAAGATTTCCGCGGCGGTTGTAAGACGAGCGCGGGCACGGTGATCGCGCGCATTTGGGTGTTCGCATTCGTTATGGTGCTCGCATGTGGTTTGCTAGACGTAGAATTTGTGTAGGTGTTGGGAAAATCTTTGATAAGCCTTGGCTAGGTCGTGGGCGGGCCTTCACTGGGCTCTGGGTAGGCCATGTATCAGCTCTTGAAAGGCCGCCAGGTAGGCCCGAGGCAGGCATTGGATAGGCCGTCGGGCTGACCTTGGGCAGGCCTGGGGGTTCGTGGGCAGGCATTGGGCAGATGGCATTGGGTTGGCTCTAACGCTCTTGGTCGCCTAGGCCTTGGGTAGGCGTGGAGTGCGTGAGGGGTGTGCCGAAATCGGGCCCATTGAGCCGTCTTGAGAGATAGCTGCTTCTTATGTCTTGTTTCGCCGATCGACGCGGGCCCCCGCTCCCCCCTCTCCAAAGACCAGATCTTGGCTGTTTTTAGCAGCTGCTTCAAGCGGGTGGATTAAGCACTGGGGCCCGCCCCCCCACCTCCCCCCGGTGGACACACGAGCTGCTGCTGCCCTCTGGAAATGAAACAATATGCAGAATCCTTTTTAGACCTGCGGCCAGCTGTATTTTTCATTGTTGCACGCCGAGTGGAACACGTCCACCGTGTCGACAACGAATATACTTTGTCGCGTTGCATGCCGAGTGGAACTCGTCCATCTAGCCCGCAACAGCTCCTATGCTGCGTGGAATGTGATTCCATTGGTCCGCCAAAAAGGGGGATGGAAATGAGAGGGATTGAGAGGGCTTGCTGAGAGGAGAATGCAGGATTAAGGTCGATTGGGGTTAATGGCATGCATCCGTGGGGACATAGAGGGAGGGTACGATTTGCTGATTGACCATGATTGATAGAAGTCTTTCTGCGCTCCGATGCTGCGAACTCTAGGAACCCCAGACCGTCGCCACATCTTGCTAGAACCAAAGCAAGCGCGCAGCGCGCGCGTGGTTCTAGTTTTTCATACATCGGAAACCTACTCCCAGAGGCCCCGGGGCTGTAGCACACCAGGGTCATCCAGAATCACCTAAGGGCCCCCTCCCCTCCGGGGGCCTCCCCTGAGCCTCCCCAGAGCTTTCGCGGAGTCCCTCCGGGACCCCCCAGAGTTTCCAGACGGCCCAAGGCGCCCCAAGACGGCTCCAAGAGGATCCCCAAGACGGCCCCAAGAGACGAAGACCGTACCATTCTTTCAGGAAGCCGTATGTGTTTAGCATGTCTTACCAGCGTCCAAGACGTCCCAAGAGGCCCCAGAGATCGCCCGAAGATGGCCCAAGAGGCGGGACTGAGGACTGGCGACGGCGACGACGACGACGACAGCGTCTCACACACGTCGGCCGATTTTCGCTCTTTGTTGAAATATAACTTACGGTTACGTCTCTCAGTTTCGCCCGTTGTCAGCATGTGATGGGTGGCGGGTAACCGATTTGATCGATGCCTTGTTGTAATTTTGAGAGGTGGCTTTCTTTGAAGACTTGGCTGCTGTTATCGTTGTTTATGTTTGTATTATCGGTTCCTCAGGAGTGTACCGGGAGTGATATACTTGGGCACCCCAGAGAGGGAGGGAGGGCGTCAGAGGGTCGGACACTTGCCCGTTGGCGCCCAGATTTGTGGGGACGTCCCCTGCGAACAGGTGGCTTTTGGAAGTTAGACATGTGTTTTCAGGCCGTGGCAATCGCGGTGTAGCAGTCAGGGCGCCACAGGGGGGAGGCGCCAAGGGGTACATCACGGGTGCGTTCGCGCCCAGATTGTGGGGATATGTCAATTGAAACGTTTGTTTTGGGAATATCGGCGCGTCTCTTTTTAGGGCCGCGCAGTCGCCGCGACGACGTAGTAGACATACGACTTGGGCACTACAAGAGTTAGCCGCCAGGGGGCAGGACACTTGCGCGTGAGTGCCCAGATAGTGGGGATATATCACGCGACGCGCTGGTTGTTGATGGGTAAACGTGTCTCTGTACAGGGCTGCGTGATACTTGCGATGTGATGACGGGTGGGACACTTACCCACTGGCGCCCAGCTTGTGGGGATGCCTCAAGCGGAACTCTGGCTTTTGTGTTTTGATTGTGTTTATACTTGTTCAGGGTTGCCTGGTCGTCGTGATGTAGCAGGCGTGGCATTTGGGGATCGTAAGGGGGGGCCGCTAGGGGGTACATCACGGGCGCTGTCGCGTTCATATTGCGGGGATCTCTCGGTCCACCCAGTTTCTTACATACCCGCTCTGTGTCCGACGCTCGTAGAAAGGAATCGGAATGACAACTAGCTTGGGTGAGGAGGATCAGGAGGAGGAGGATGAGGAGGAGGATGAGAAGGAGGAGGAAGAGGAGGAGGAGGAGTAGGAACTCACCGATGCATGCATGGTGATCTCTCGTGTCGAAGTATTGTTCCTGCCGTCGCCTGTGCAGCATTTCGCTTTTGAGAGGCTCCACCTCACTTACACGTGGCCTGTGCAGTCCATGCCCGTCTGAGTCTCTTCCTCCCCCTCTCTCTCCAGCGCCCTCCCGTTCGTTGTTCAAATCCTTCTTTTCCCTCTTAGTTCTCTTTTGTTCCTCCGCCTTTTTTGATGCCGCGCATATTTGGTTGACCACATGGGCTTCCTGGCGCGCTGCTGTTAACAACGTTTCGTCCGCCGGGCCTCGTTTGCGGTGGATTGGTTTGCGCTGCGTTCCAGGCGCATTTGTCGTTGCTCCAGTCGCACTGTGCTGCAGCCGCGCGGTGGCGCGTTGCAGCGCGTTCTTTCCCTCTCCCTCCTCGCGTCCTTCCTTTTGCCCCCCCGCCACCCCGCTTTTTGTCGGCGGATGCGCGCGGGATGGCGCCCCCTCTTTTTTTTCTCCCCGCCTCCCCCGCGGCGGCGCCGACGGCGCTCCGAGCCCAGCGCGGAGGTGTCCGGGCCAGGCTTCGGCGGCCGACTGGGGCGGGAGGCCTGGCGGTGCACCCTTTCCTTGCGGGGGGTATTTTTTCTGTTCCTC